GATTTTCCAGCTGGATAGCCACAGTAGTACTCCATGAATTAAAACTAATCAAATCTTTGAAAATTAGTTATTTAATCTAAACATTATGAATAAATAAGGGAAAAGTTGAAAATCTTCCTGCATCAGGTTCCACGAGTGATTTTTTTTAATGGTACTCATGCTGTAACTGGAGCATTCATAGTAAAAGTCAAGATCTAAGCGCACAAGCGTTAAACAACGACTGCGGTTAATCACTGTACTCACCACTCGATAAAATCGTTTATTTTCGAGACAAGAGTGACCTAGGCTTCGAAAAGCGAAGTGAAAAATCTCGAAAAAATAAAATTTCTTAGTTGTTTTAGCCTACCGTTTTTCACTCCCTCCCTTTTTCTACCCACTTTTCCTTCCCCTCCATCGTTTCTTTTTTTCTACGATAACCTGTGACTTAATTCACGAAAACAAACTTCCCACAAATGGGCCACGGCTTGCCAGATAATTTTGAATGGATTGGAAACCGGCTGGAATGCTGACTGACGAGCTGATAGTACCGCGACCGTGCTGAAGGCGACACTGCCCTTTGACGCCAGTATATGGAGCATATTCGGTTTCGAGTGGTACACCTCTTTGGATCATCAAGCTGGAACCGCTTTTATATGTTTAGGTAAAAATATTCTCGATACCATTTTCTTTTGTTTGATTCTAAACAGTTAGACTTCACGATAATGACTTATTTGCTCCTTTCGCAATTTCTTTTAAATTTAGGCTGAAACCGTCTTGCTAACAATGTTCAGTTGCGGTGTTGAGCTAAGACGTATATGGTTTGTGGAGCGAAACTTTTTACCACTTTATTTTGCACAGCCCTCTTATTCCCTCTTTCTTTTCTTACTCTATCGTCCTTTGGGGGGCGGAATAACGGCTCTACGTAAGATGACTTGCTATTTGATAAACTGGGAGTTATTAGATGTTTAGGAGGCCCCTATTCACTAAGCTTCTACAACAAGTACTACAAGTGACTTGGCGGGCTCAACGCAGTGGAAAGTAGCTCTGTTGTCCTAGAGTAAATCGAAAATCCGAGTTTCCCCCAGCAGTGGTTGTTTCGATGGTGGATTGGTACTTGTATATTGCCAGTTAATCAAACTTGCCATACCCTGTTTCTAAGCAAATTTTAAAACAGAGCCATCGATGGTTGCTATTCAACTGCTACCAGTTAGGTACTTCCCGAATGCCTTCATATTTCATAGAGATCGTGCAGGAGTGGTTTTCGGTTTCTGGCTTTTGGCAGGCGCAAAACCGAGGACAATTTGAAAGCAGCCAGTTGCATCGGTGCAGGAGTTCCCAGAACAATGATTTTATGGCTTTTAATATGATGTAATAATTTTACGCATTTCGACATAATTACCAAAAACGCCAGAGCACTTCTGAGAGAAATCCCCAAAATCAGATGAAGTCGGGCTTACTAGTGAGCCTA